ACCATGCAGAGCTCCTCTGAGCCACAAGATCACTCCAATTCTCTATTCAATTTTTTTCAAATAAATCTCTCGATTTTCCAGAGATTTCTCTTAGCCAGATCTCCTTCCTGTGAGTTATTTCCTTTCACAACGCTAAAAAAGTTTATTGGGAAACATCAGGACGTTTACACAAAAATCTGCTGCGATCCGCGCCGGCATGATCTCTCCATGGCTTTCACGCACTATGTTCTGCATCATGATTGACTGGTCTGGTCCCAGTCTCGACCTCAAAGGAATTGGTTGTTTCCCTACCCATAGGGCGCAGGAGCCTGCATCGTGAAAGCATGTCGACTTCTGAAGATTGTTTCGTGCAGATGCGAGCAAAAGCCCCAATCTTTTTTTTCCAAAAAATGCCACTGTTGTGATCGGAACAACTTACAGGATAGACATCTCCATGAAAAACTTGGGATAATTAGGGAATTCATTGGAAAAATTTGACTGAAAAGTGGTGTGATCTCGTGGCACTGCGTATGACGTGTAGAAGCACAAAGCCATGTACAGTCTGGTGTATGTAGCATTAGGCATGCAGCAGCAACGCTTGCTGCAGTGCTGTGTGACGTGCGTGTGCTGAACAATTGTACACTGACAGAGCTGCTGCGCTCAACTGTGTCGCCAGGAGACTAAAAAATGATTCTGTCATCACTAACTAGTAGTAGTAGGTACATGTACATGTAGGCCTAATTTTTTTCGTTTCGCTTTTCTCACAAATTGCGAAGTACATGTATAATTATAAAGTAAACTCACGCCAAGGAGTGCGGTACGGATGGTTTCAGGCGTGCAATTAATAGCACTTCTTGAGAAGCTTTTAGGCGTGCATTGGCATGAGAGTGCAATCGCACGCTTTAAAATGAAAGGACTGGGAAAACAAAGTCTACTTTTTCAAACTACATGTAACATTCAGACCGTGAGGATCTGTTCCTTAATCCTAGTGCAAGTAGCTCTAGTTTAGGTAAATTTTGACAATATTTAAGCAAGAAAACCAGAGTTTTCCACGAGTTCGGCGAAAGATGACCACATCACACCATTTTGTTTCTCGTCTTGTTACCCGACCTAGCCATTGTGGATATACTGAATTTCATAAAAGAAACTTTAATGGTTCCAGGTCAAGGAACCAGACTACATCATGCGCTGATTTGTCTTTGTTTACAGCTCTTCGTCTGTTCGTCGCATCATTTACGCTGCCAGGCACGTTTTACCCCATAATATCCCCAGAAAACCAAAGCCCTTCACTCTTTTGTTTCTGATATGAAAGAGGACATCACCGCCAACTTATAATTTAGGTGCTTTGTTTCGAAAAGGTAGACTTTGTCTCCTTATAGGAACAGGGTGATAATGCCATTAATGAACACCGTATGCCTTATCGCAAATAGGCCTACTGCATGGGTGATTTTGCACAATGATAGAATAAACTAGAAAGGCATTTTTAAAAATCACCCATGCAGTATCTGCAATATGGGTGCTACCTACATGAAGCCCTACCTTGCCCCACTAGTGTGGCACGGACTCTCACTCCCGCTCCATGGACACGACAGCGTAAACTGCAGTAAGCCTACCCGTACGACCAATAACCACCCAGTGATAACTGCACAAACTAGCAATAGGCCGAACTAGTGGGCTAGCCAGTAGCCAGGCGCTACCGATCATTGCCGATCGCGGTGTGTGGTCATCATCATCATTCATCTGTTTACGGTTACGCTCTTGGCCTAAACCAAGGAGCCTAAACATGTCTAAATACTGTCTACTGAATTAATGAAATGGTGATGGCTGTTTTATTCCTCCGAGTTCCAACTATTTCAACCTTACCTAAACTTCTCCCTTCCTTACTGCATGTGAGTTGCTCAAGCGAAGGTTGATCATCACCGACAACGGGTTTGCTACGGCCGAAAATCAACTTCTCTTGAGTGCGGCCATTTCACATTAATCCAACTCTTGGTGGCGCACTCCAGCTTTGTGTTTCAAATCTCATTCTCAGCTCAAGTTTTTGTTATAATTTCAAGAGTTGGTTTGCTGTTTTCTTGGTTTTCATGCCAGTAAGCCGTTTCCATATTCCGCGAAATAACTGTGATGTCATTCCAGGAAAAACTTCCCAATGTAAAATTGATTTATGAACGTAACATTGAAAAATCCTGCATTTTAATTTTTTCAAGATTTTGCTGGCCTACTTCCGTTTTTCATTGTTTTTTGTAATTACATAGAAATATACAACATTTAACATATTTATCGGCACACAGCCTACTGCCTTACCGAATGACTTCACAGTAACAGCGTCAGTCCTCATTGTCAAGAGAGCATAAGTAATTCTAAATATTTCTCCATAAAATGTGCGCTTTTCAAAAAATGTAACCCACTAAAGATGTCAAACAGTTTTCATACACTGAAGAAGCTATATAGAGTATAAAATTCCAGGAAAATTATGTCCCAACAATTATTTTGGCAGCTACACTAGTACTTTCAAACCTCAACTCAGGATTTTCAAGTTGGGTATCTTGGCTGTGCACAACTAGGCTCTGATTCACCTTTATCGCCTTATCAAAACCCCTTTCGGAAATACCAAACAATGAAATGACTAGTTGGAAACAATTCATAAGTATTTTCGAGTGATTTTTTTATTGTAACTTCCAGCTATGACACAGGTTTGCGTTTCAATTTGTATCAACAGGTATAGATTTATAGAATAATAAATATTGCAACATATTATTGAATATAATTCGTACTCGTCCCCCTCCGACCCTACAGGCCAGGAAGCCGGCGTTAATGACTTTCTGAAAAAAAAGTGCGCAAAATCTTGAGAAGGAAATACGCTCATTGCTGTCCCAATCAACACCTATTTATGTCCATTCAGTGAGCATGTGCCATGCGCACGCGGAATTTTTGTGGAAACGTGTTGTTCAAATGTCCAATGAGTCGACGAACGTTCCGTCGTGTAGTTTCCCTTCCCAGTGCCTGGTAAGGGTGGTTGGGGACGAGTGAACGTGCTTCCTATTTTAAGAAAAGAGATCGAGAGGAATAAGGTTATGAATGCAGAAGTCCAGGTATCTGCACATTTTCCGGAAACTTTTGGAAAGTGAGTCAAGATAGAGCAACCCTTACACGAATTTGATGCCAAAATAATCTCAATGAATCGAAACAGGTTTTGTAAAAACAGACAGATTTCTTTTCTGAAAAGCTATTAATTGGTAACTTTATATTTGCCTATAAGAGAGAGGATAACTTTAAATGCACCCCATTATTAATGATAATGATCCAGCGAAGAGCACAAGTTTTTCTAACTTTAAGTATGGTCACAATATTTATAACCGCATTGTTACTTAAATTGAAAGGTTTCCGTCTACAACTTACACAATATTAATATCATTATTTTGAATATGTCAGTCGAGTTCGAGCGGCCTGTTCTTGACACGGATTTCTTGTTCTTGATCTCGAACGGCGGGAACACGACCCAAGAACACTGTTCTCGGAACAGGATCACGCACCACCTCCTTGTCAGGGTCTTACAGGAACACACGGAAAAACTCGTGAGATTTTGAATTTTGAACAGCTGCAAAAATAGCGAGATGGCTTACAAAGCCGGAGACAATGGGAAGTTTTGCAAAATTAACAGAAATAATTTTCCATAACATGGAAACGAATGTTCCTTTATAAATAGACTTCAGCTCAGTTATCCAAAACTTAACCCTCAAAGAACGTACATGGAAGCCGCCATGTTACTTGCCACCATACCAGCGATAACCGGTTGAACATTCCCTGGCTTCCGAGCGGCAGACCCACGAACAACAATTCGTGAGCATACGAGAACAAGCTGCCCGAACTCAGCCTCAGTTTGCGAATTATCCAGTTACGACTTACTTCCAACGTTTTACTCAAGGCTGCAACGACAGCTGGGGAATTCAGCTATTACCAATTTTCTTTGATGAAATAATTTACATCACAATGACATGGGCGTAAATCCCGGTGATGAGGGGTATACCCTCCCACACAGACACACACTTTTTAAACTGTTGAATCATCCCCGCCACTTTTTGTGATGAGCAAAAAATAATAAAGCGGATTTAAAGTACAGGATTTCCAGACGACTACAATGTTTGCAATATCACTGAAAAGATAAGGCAAATGTTAATATGCCATTCCGATGTAAGATTCTGCATCAATTTCATACACATTACAGATACGCATGTATTTTTATGTATTATTTTAACTGTATTGTATTCTTAACATATTAATATATCTATTATTTTTATTGTTTTATATTGTAGAGCGCCTTACAGCCTTTTTGGATGAGGGCGCTATATAAGTGTGGTATCTTTACCATGAACACCACCCCCGTACAGTGTATATGATGTCACCCCCTCGCTTTTCAAATTTCCATGGCCGGGCAAGTCATCCCTCTACCTTTCGCCATTCCCCCTCCCAAATTTCCAGGACAGAATTATTCCTCCCAAATTTCCAGGACAGAATTATTCCACTGCACAATGATCACCGCATTAAAAATGTCTGGGTTATAGAATTAACAAGTGAGGGTGCATAGTACACCCAGTGAACTGGGTTGTGCCAAAATAGTGGGCAACATGAACTTTTTGTTTATAGGTTAAAATGAGCCAGAAATTGATCAAATGTATGCGATAAATGCGTTTTTTACCCTGCCTTGGTTTGACCCAGTCATATTGCGGTGTCTGTCCTGGCTATTTTGGCCTTTTCCAACCGTTCGTACAGGTCCAGTTTTTCACGCACAAAAAATCCGAATGGTAACATTAACCACACCAACAATAATATCAAGTAAACATGTGAACTCAAGGTGACGCCGTTGGAGTTGAAATCAATTTGCCTCTTTTTACAATGCTCTTTAAATATTTTATATATTCTGATCTAGTTACATATCATGTTCAATTCACTAACTGTTTTAACACTACACTTCCAAAACCACAGTAAAGATTTTAGTTTGGCCGGTTGTCCAGTGGAGTGCTTGTCAGGGTGTTTTGCTACTTTGTTTATGCTTTTCCGTCGTCCTTTGTTTCTTGGTATATAAGTATTTTATATTCAATGTAGTTAACTCTTTTCGGCGGTGGTGGTTAGGTTTGAATTCAAGTTTGGGTTTTGAACACCAGGCCAATCACACAAAGAAAAATTGGAAATTCATCTTTTGTATCTTGACGAGAGGCGCGTCTCGTGTCTGCTATTACCAGTTTAGTCATCAAGGCAGGGCGCGTAGATATGCCACTCCTTGTAAGCCGAGATCAAAAACTTAATGCGTCGAACGGCATGCTGGGAGGGATCTGCATCGGGTATACGCACAATGGGCGCACTGCCGCCAGCCTGGCCTACCTGCACCTCGGTGTCCGTATGGGCCAGCCAGAAACGACTAACACCGCGAAGGTCAAGTCCCTTGGTCATTGCAGAGTCCAACGGTTCGTACCGACGGCTGATGGTACAGTACTGCTGGGCGAGTACTGTTTGATAGAATTTGAAACTTGTGATTTAAAAACAGCCTCAACTTTTCTGCGTAGCACAAGCGCAAAATACCTCCGATGCGACAGTCTCGTGACATTTCCATTTATTGTTCCATCTTTATTTGTGAGACTTTACAAGAAAAATATCTAGGTCTTCATTCGTTTTGCTGCATATTTTGAGCCTCTAATAAATGGACAAATTGCAGACAAACTTACCGAGTCGGTAGAGGTCATTACTGTTCACATCATACAGATGCACAATGACCGGATCACCATTAACTGGTTGAACGCTGAACTCCAGTCGTTGGACGGGCGAGTCAAAATGACCTGCAGCGGGATGCCATATCGGGCCAGACTGCTCAAACATCACCCCGCACACCGTGTTTCCACTTGGTTCCGGTTCTTAAACAACAAAATGTAACCAGTAGGATGAGAAATTTGTCAAGATTAACTAACCAGACGAAAGTAAATACTTGCATTCTTACAAGCTCATAACTATTTCGATCTTCTACAGACTTATGATGCAGGCGATCTGTCATTATCATTTTTCGAACCTGTTGTTTATCTACGATTTCAGTTACCCAGAATCATTCCTCATCCTGCTTGTCTTTCGATGAGAAGAGGAGGAAGATAAAAAAAAACACTATTAAGCAAAAACTCTTTGCAGGTGCAGAGAAATCCTTTGGGCTGCTTTTTAAAAATCCACCCTTTCTTGCGAGAGCATTCTGTTATTTCACACTTTTATTTCTTATAGACTTCCAATTGAGAACTTTGTAAATTGTAAGTTCCTACCTTTGTGCTCAGCCATCTTGATGCACCGATCCTCTCTCTTTGGCATGGCTGCTTTCAACCAGACACGCCTGTCGAACGTGTCATCAGGACCAGCCGGGGATACATCACCGAAATGCAGTGTCCTCATTTTACTCTCAGCGAAAGTAACATTTGCTGCAGTTTATGGTGAAAAGGATAAACATAGAAGAACAAAGTCAAAGACCAATCTGGGTGCCTCATTAACCAGCCGAGTATTACGTACCTTGCGTACACACAGGAAGTTCAATTGCCAATTTTCATTTAAAACGTTTCAAATTTACAGAGTTTGGGTGAACTCTAGTCACCACTTTGCCTGCCCAAAAGGACTTTACTACACACCTTTTAAAATGCTGCTCTTACAAAAATTGCCAATTCGGTGGCGCTCCTCAATTTATCACATTCAACATTTGTAATGTGAATCATTTAAACAAATACTGCTTTTGCCGAATCCGCGACATTCTACACAAACGCGAACACAATTCAATTTGGACCCGTCTTACCTTGTGAATTAAACAAAGCAGTAAGGAATAGCAACAGAACAGACGGGGTCGGTTCCATCTTGCCTGAAACTGCCGCAGAACCAGCGCTTCCTTGCCGAATGGCTCCTTGGACAACGTCGACAAGCATGAAAATCATCAGGAGGGTGCGGCCAGTGGTAAATCAACGTGACGCCATCGAAACTATGGTGACAATTTTGACAAGAGAATTGACTATAATAATCTTGTATAAACAAGTCACGTCTGTTGGTATGTATAAGCAGTCGTCTTTGTTTGATGCACCGCGATCGAGGACAATTCACTCTAACAGCGAGGAATTTCGGAATTTATGTCAACCATAATGTTTATGATAAGCCTACCATGCCTGCAATAGCTCCTGACGAGAATTACGATAATTGAAGACTTGGCATTATGTCAACAAAACACAGAGAGAGTTTTAAAAACAAAAGAAAAATAAAAACTGAACGCACAAACAGAAGGTAAAACAATTGTTAGTTTTTTTTCACAAGCCTTCGGGGGGGCACACACTGAGTATACAGTGTTGTAATACAAGTCAGGCAGGGCGAAAATCCAAAATTCATCAACATCTCCGTCCCCGACGCGAATCCATCCTTGGGAAGAGTTTCTATTTATTATCTGTCTGTAATTTTCAAAAAACACATATATAGAGAGATAGGGAATAAACAATAGGTTCAGCTCACTATTCTCTAACATCTGTTAGAACTGGTGTACCATAGAAACAAATGGTCTTGCTTGTATATTCTCATAGCAGGCATTTAATCTGGCCATAAACATCAAAGTTAAATGTATTGCAAAATAGAATTAAGAAATTTTACTCTTCACGGAGATCAGATTCTACAAGTTTTGGACGATGGTTGCTGTTGACCAAGGAATCTCTTGACGCCTTGGTCATAGCACTACACATCTCTCCATGCACGGCTAGCAAGCAGAAGGAGCAAACCAGCCCAAGAGCCAAAGTCAGGATCAAAACGTAGCGCAGATCATTCATATCTATCCAACTCGTCTTCATTTCTTGCTTACTGGATTTACACTGTGAGACGACACACCTCCGTACCGTGTCGCATTTCCGTACATGTGCGTGCTCGCTAGAGTCAATTTTTAGTTGCCATAGTAGCCACAACGGCTGGTTGTTGCGTTTAATAGATTCTGATCAAATAGCCACTAAATAATAAACAAACTGTAAATGTACATACATTGCATAGAACATTATCCACTTCGCTGTAATTTATAGACTTTTTGACGGGTGCCGACAAACAAAATTTGAACAATGAAAATTCCTGGCTACCGTCGGCTGAAATTGAACGGGTGGCTTCCATCGGCTGATATTAATCAAATGGAACAGCAGCATGGGAATGTAATGCTAATAACTGAACAGAAAATATCAATCGACAGAGTATTCACAGCATTTAATTAAGGTCCTCTTCGTTTTATAAAATGTGTAGGCCTACTCATCCTCTCTTGGGGCACGTTATGATAAACCAATGTTGAATACAATATCATTATGTTATGCACGGCGTCAAACAGCGCAAAGTTCCATCAGCGACTATCACTCCACGGGGTTTTGCCTGTTGGTCTTATAATTCGTACTGTTTTGTACTGGAAATCGAACAGTGCCAATGAAATGCATGAAATGAACTGTTACAAATTCTTATGTAAATTTACGTAGGATCTTATGTCAATTCTCATTACAAAATAATGTTATGCCCCACAGAGATTTATTTTGTACATGAACAGATTTTCATTTGTGGATTTACAAAGACGTTTTTTCCGACTAAAACGGTTAATGTTTTAGTATGTAATTAGGAAAAGAAAAAAATTTAGACGAGGTTGAGGGTGGCTGCTATAAAGTTGAGGGAGGTTACTTACGCTCCTTACGGCTTGACGACCATAACATGAATGATTTCTATATATTTAATGTGTCCAGACTTACTCTCTCACAATACAACTACAATAGTTCCTGACGACAAATTATGACAATTGAAGACTTGGCATTATGTCAACAAAACACAGAAAGAGTTTTAAAAACAAAACGAACAGACAAAAGGTAAAACAATTGTTAGGTTTTTTCACAAGCCTTCGGGGGCAAACACTGAGTATACCGTGTTGTAATACACGTCAGGCAGGGCGAAAGTCCAAAATTCATCAACATCTTCCCGACGCGAATCCATCCTTGGAAATAGTTTCTAATTATTATCTGTCTGTAATTTTTCAAAATAATTTTAAAAGACAGAGTTTCAAGTCGTTGAAAAATAAATATAGACATATACAGAGAGATACAAAATGAACAATAGGTTCAGCTCACTATTCTCTAACAACTGTTAGAACTGGTGTACTATAGAAACAAATGGTTTTGTTTGTAACTTCTCA